CCCATTAGTTTGAAGGAAAGAAATTAAGTCCTTATAATTTTTCCTCTTTTGTCTAATTTCAAATGAAATGTCCTTTAAAGTTTTGATGATTGCATTTCCCATTTTCAGTGGAATTGTTGATATTGCTTTTAAAATGGCATCTCTGGTTTGCCTTCTTGAAAACCTGACCACTATTTCTCTAGGTAGGCTATTTTTTTAATGTAATTGGAGTATGCCCTGTAGGCTGACTCCATTTCATTTACAAGTTCATCCGCTGTTAAGCCTACTACTGGAGCGATGATCTCACTAATCACCCTCTTCAGGTCTTCCCGATCCGTTTCAGGAACTCCCTGAAACCTGAGAATCACATTAGCTTTTTCCATCTGTAGCTGCAAAACTCGATTCTCTTGGCAATTCTGCTTCGTTTCCACATCTCCCATCCTTTTCTTCAACTTCTTGCTTGTGGTGTCAATCTCTTTCGTTTGCCGGCTCCACTTTTTTCTCTGTTTCGTTCAGCTGAAGCTGCTGTGCTGCAAAGTTTTTATTCATCACAGTCAATTGCTGGTTAATACCATTGAGTTGTTCCATCACCGGCTTGAGCATATCCGCCAGGAGTTTGAGGACATCTGTTCCCTCTTCCGGTTTCGGACTCTGACTACCCGGCTTTGTTTTAAACTTTCTCTGCTGGGCCTCCATCTTTCCCATTTTGTTTACAGTTTCTGCCGCTTTCAAGCAACTCGGAAAACTCGCCAAATAACTTTGCAATTCAGATAAGTCTCTCAAAACACTTTGGTTTACTTCCTCCCCTCTCCCCCTTCATGTCCGTTAGCCGCTCATTCTCATAAGAGAATGCAATCTCTTTTTTCAACAGTGTGGGGGGGGACCACTTTTCAAACTACTCCGTTTTATTCAGAACTCACATTCATTGTCAGTCAGTTTCTCTGACTGCGCTCGGATTTACGCCATTCTGCTCGATCTCCAGCGCTTGTCCCGGTCAGTCCAGCTTGTACCCGAAGGCCACTCAGCGACTGGACCGTCGGGGCGGAGGGGAGTCTCAATTCTCCGGCATTACGCTGTCGAA